TATTTCACCTTTTAGTCTGCCTTGTCTTTTTTTATTAATAGCTTGATAGCTGCATATAAGACACCGAGGGAAAGGAGCTGATGACAACAGACCAATAGTAATTTTGTGTCTGGAGGGAGGGGCTGTAACGAGTACGGTTTTTCCGCCCGCCACCGCCTGGTCTGGTCCTGCTGCAGCGCCAGCCCCAAATAACACACAGAGACTCTGTATTAGATATTATACTGTTGGCCAGTTACTACTTTCTTATCGGCTAGCTCTGTCTTAAGTAGTAACCCATTTGTGTTAATCTATGTATTTCCACGTGGTCTTCTTACCGGGAGCCGGCTGCTGCATACTGCTCTCTCCAGTCCCTCCATCTTGACTCCTCCTTACTACTTCCTATTTCCTCCTTGTCTCTCCTATCTTCCCTTCCTATTGGCCAACAGTGCTTTATTATTACCCAGTATGAGAACCATATACAGGATGACATCTCCCATCAAGGGGCTCTATAGCCCTGAGAGTCTGTTTTACAGTTAGCCTGTGCCCTGAACTGCAAACTGTGCATGTGTTCTTTCTTACGCTCTTTGTCAGTGGAACAGAACAGCTTGAGTGGCCTGAAGTTGGTATTTTCTTCCCCTCAGGTCAGCCAGTCTCAGGTTACCTGGCTCCCCCTGTGGTGGGAGGGCTTTAAAGCAGAATGCTCTGTGACTGGTCATCTTCCCCTTCCCGGCATGTACTTTTCTCCAGAATTCACTAGGACAGCCAGGACATGCTCCTAGAGATGAGACTCAAACAGTGTAAGGCCCCACAAGCCTGGATCCCTGAGTCTTCTATTGCAGCCTTGGCTGCATTGAGGCTGCAGGAATTGCCACTTGGCATGCAGGTGGCCCCACTGTGACACTAATCCACAGAGGTTGGTGCCATGGGTTTCTGCTCCAGCAAGCTGGTCTTGTTTTTGTTTTTCTGCATTTACTTCTAGATCTCTCCAGCTTCAGGGCAGGGCCTTGCTTTCTCCTGTGACTCCATCCCATTGGCCTTTCTGTTTGATGAGCTGTTGACAGGTCATCTCTGCAGACACCCAGACACATCCCCTATAAAATCCTATGGAACAGAGGCAGGCCTCAAACTCAGGACATCCCTACCTTTACCACACAAACTCTTTGTTAGTGATGAGATGATTCCTGTGATGGTCACAGCCAAAACATTTGGGTACTTGAGTCTATCCAGGGTGTGTGGAAACTAGATAGCTGTGGCTAGTCATAGAAAAATGTTTTAAAATCAATGGTGCTGTCTGATATTGTAAGACAATCACATATGTACACTGTACTTGCCCTCTCCCTCCCACCCTTCAACACTCAGTTCCATCCCTACCAGTTCCTTGTCTCAGGCCCACGACTGGGTCTGGTTTCATGACCCCTCTAGTTTAACCAGGGCCATCTGAAATGCATTCCAGAACAGCTTTAGTGTTTAGTATCTATTACATGCGGCCTCTGTGGTGTGAAGCATTTCCAACAAAATTCCCTGAAGAACCTGATCCAGACTGGCTACATTCATCTCAGTGATTGACAGGGCTCACAGCCTAATTAATTGTAACGTCCCCTCTGACACAGCCTCGGCCATGGAAACGGCTGGCTTCCTTGGCAGAGTCCCGGGGTAAAGCTGGGAATTTAATTTTGCAAACGACTAAGAGCAAACCAAAGGCAAACTGCTAAACAAGATCCGCGTCCAAGGAGGCAATGCAAACTTTTAATGTCACTGTTCATCGCCGCCTATCAAAAGTTTCTATTGAAAGTGAAGCTGCGCTACAGACCCTAAACTGACTATACTCACAGCAACTTCTTCTGTGGATCCGACAAGTCAGAACGTAAGTTGTTTCACCCACTGTCTCATTGCCAATACTCAATCCTAAAAGTGACATTTCCCCCTGTCTGACAGGTAAGGGTCAAATTTGGAAAATTCTTCCCTTTAGGCTTATCGTGTACTAACAGCGTGCTTGGTGTTTTTGTCTATTCTCATTCTCTCCTCCTCGCCCATTGCTCTCACTTAAATTCAGTTCTGGTGACCATACCCCTAGGTCACCTCTTCTTCCAAGAGTCGTATCTGTTTCTGGAATTTTGAAAATGAGAATAAACCAGCACACGACGTCCTTAAGATGGGAGATTATGACAAGAGAAAAGCATCAAGCTCGATATGACGTGACTATTTCATAGTTGCTCTTCAACAGCTTCCTGGGCCTACCCAAAAGAATCCCTTAACACAGGGATGCTTCGTGCTAACTTGCCCGGCTCAGTGTGCCCCTCAGATTGGAGCACAACACAGGCCAGCTTTCCTGGCTCTGGCATAACTCCAAAACTTTGACATGCTAGAGCATGAAGTTTCGGCTGGTGCAGAGCTACCTCATCCTCCAGGTGCCTTAGAGAGAGGGCCCAGAGGGAAGTGCTCCCTGCCCTGATCTCACGTGCTTGGTGGCATGAGAAAGGATGGGAGGGCAAACTTTTCTTCTGCCCTCTGCCTCAAACCCCTTGCTGAACAGCTGAGAACCAGATGAAAGCCTTGGGAAGCCACTCTGCTAGCTCTGGGCGAGTATTTGATGCCCTAGAGTCAGAAGGTAAGGTTTGGGTCTTGACCCAAGAATCGGAAATCTCCGACTATAATGCTTTAAGACAGGTACTCTTTTGTGTTTGGGTGTCTGATTTCTAAAATGGCTTCCTCTCAGAATGCAGCTACAAACTCTACCACATGTATTTAAAAGATCATGACAAAGAAAGAATCCCAAATCAGTCATTGCTACTATTCGTACCTAACAGAAACGAATACAGAAATAGGACTTCTACTCCCAGGGAGACAGGAGGAGGTGATAGGAAGAGAAACAAGATTAACCCAAGGAAGCCTCATTCATGAAATCAGCCAGTCGGCACACATTTATTCACCACGGGCTGTAACCAAACTGTCTGTGCCAGACAGGCCTGGGGACTTCTGGGGAGCATTCTCATGTGTTGCCTCTCTTGTGACATTTTTTTTAAAGCCAGAGAAAACATAGCCTCTCAAGAAACCCAGAGAGGACATTAAACATTCCAAGAGAAGCAAACTAGGCCTTCCGGAGTCCCAGGTGTACAAAAGCCCAGATGTAGAAAGGTGTCTTTCTGTTAGGTATGTTGTACTGTACTGCAGTGCCGTGGTCTCTTTTACAAAACATGGGCAATGAGGAAATCGTGTTTAAGTCACTCACGACAGACAGAAGCTCTCCTTTGTGTCTGGGAGAGAAAGCACGAATGAGCAAAAGTCATCAAAACGCTACTGGGAAGCGTCTAAAAGTAGAGAGGGCAAAGCTGGCCCGTACCACACAAGCACTGTGCTTTCCTGGTCCAGTACAAGGCCTCCCCAACCGGGGGAAAAGCAGGCTCACCAGGGTACCCCTTGGAGCATCCCCTTAGAGTGTCCTGAGCCAGCACAGTGAGTCCTGCAGGGGGGATAGATCGCAGGAGAGCGCCGCCCTCTAGCGACCAAAATGAGAGACGCATTTCAAATTGAGCCTCTGAGGAACGAAGTGCAGGCAAGAGCTGTGATGGTTGAAAATGGTGGTGGAGACTTTGCAAATAACTTGCATGATTGGGAAAGCCTTGAGATCCTCTTTTTATGAACTCTCGAACCGTTTATGATACCCTTCTAGGACGAAGGAAATAGGTAAAAACAATGGGTGAATTTTAAAAAGAGGATGCAAGGTAAACTAAAAGATCCAAAGGAGAGAGAGATAGTAGGTGGTTAAAAACAGCTTTTGGGGCCAGGTAGGTTAAGTGGATTTTGTCCATTATTTCAGTTGGTTCTGTCCTAACATCGCCCCTTCTCTCTCGTGTGCCGACATAATATCATGTTACCTCAGCTGCCTTTTTACAAAGAGAGATAAAGACAGATGGAGACGGACACAGAGACAGAGAGACCTTAGAGTAACATCTAGGCTTCCTTCCTAAGACCATCTACAGATCCGGGAAGTGAGGGATCAGCAGACTCACTTCCCGGAGCCCCAGCCTCCCTTCAGCATCCAGGTCCCTCCCCATGGAGCAAGACCCCAAGAAAAGGCGTTCCCTCCACACCAAACTCCTGACACACTGACATCACACCTCCCTGACCCTCCTCTTACTCATCAAACACCCCCAAAACACCCTGTGCAGCACATTGGCGACAGAAAGTCCTGGACCTGGAAGTCCGCCCAGGTAGTGTAGATTGATCCTTCCTGTGGTTCCTGGAGAACAAGCTTCCCAGAAGCTGTTTTTTGGTTTTTTGTCTGTTTGTTTTGGGGGGGCGGCGTCCTTTTTGTTTTGGGTTGGGGGGATTGTATGATTTTGTGTATCTGAGGTATTACTTCTGTGGCAGGAGACCTCACCGACCTAAAAGAGAAAGTTTTAAGATCCACCGAAAGTTCCAATTATTGATTTCTGTAACCACTAACTGAATGCCTACTGCGTGCACCTGACGCTGCTGGCGAGGAATTCGGGGCAGAGAGATGAAAAAGTACGACTCTCAGAGAGTTGTGCGGCGGACTTCCCTGCTGGACTCCTGGAGAGGAGGTGGGGGAAGGGGCAGGTTCCCCGAATCCCAAGTCCATCTGCCCTTTCAAACACGCCCACCCACGGTGCCACCGAAGTGATTCATGCAGGGAAAGCAGTTTGCCCTCCGTGCCCTCCCCAGAGTTCCTAGCTGCGCGCTGCGAAGGGGGGGGACCTCCGGCGCCCACTCGCACCCGCCACCCTCGGGGGCCGCGTGCTGCGGGGACGTCCCCTCCCGCCAGGCGTCGGCGCGGGCTGGCGTAGGGCCTGCGTCAGCTGCAGCCCGCCGGCGATTGGGGCGCGGGTGCCTCCTTCGGCTTGGGGCTAATTATAAAGTGGCTGTGGCCGCTGCCAACCTCCGGACAGCGAGGCAGGCTCAGAGCCCCGCATCCCAAGGACACCGAGGACCGCGACGGTGAGTCCCCGATCTGCCCCGCGCCTTGCACCAGCTCCCCGACGCTGTTGCTTCACACCTCTCTCTCTCTCTCTCTCTCTCTCTCTCTCTCTCTCTCTCTCTCTCTCTCTCTCTCCCTTGCAGAGAGACATCTAGGACCCGCTCCTCCAGCAGCCTGCTCCATTTGAACTGCGGCTACGTGAGTGAGTTTGCCCCCCCCCCAAGTCTCCTACACTGTGGTGACCATCACCTGTTTTTCCTAATTGCATGCGTTCGCCCCACTTTCTCGAGGTTCCTCTTTGCCATGCGGGGTCCGGGTCCTTATTCCCGGAGCGCCCGCTCGCTCCCGAGCTGTGATCTCCAGAGTTTTTTGCAGAATCTTGCCCTGGGCAACCAATGCCCAGGAAGACAGGACGCCCTCGAAAGAACAGCTGGGATGCCATCCGGAGGACAAGATGCCCCTGGGAAGATAGAATGCCCCCAGAAAGACAGGAAGCTCCCCACCCCCGGAAAGACAGAATGCCCCAGGAAGACAGTATGCCCTCGGGGAAGCCCCAGGAAAGCCGGAGCCACTCCGGACCAAGCCATCCCTGAGGAACCCTGGAATGTGTTGGGTTGTGGGCGGGGTCCAGGAAAGAGGGTCTCTGAAGATCTATCTCCACGACCCTCCTGGGGAATCTATCAGAGACAGGACAGGTCCCCAGAAGCGCGTTCTTCTCTCCTGCAGCCCATGGCGCGGTTCCTGAGACTTTGCACCTGGCTGCTGGCGCTTGGGTCCTGCCTCCTGGCTACAGTGCAGGCAGAATGCAGCCAGGACTGCGCCAAGTGCAGCTACCGCCTGGTGCGCCCCGGAGACATCAACTTCCTGGTGAGTTGAATTCTCGGTGAGGGGATGTCCTCGGTCATGCTCAGGCAGCCAGCCTTGCAAATATCTAGCTGTCACTCGCCCTGGAAGGTGCACAGCGCGAGCCTTTGGTGACCTGGGCGACCCTTCCAAAATGTTGATCCCTATCTGCTCTGTCTCCCAATTTTGGAACCAGCCTATCTGGGACCCTGCAGGGTTGAGGTATCCATCTCCACACAAACCAATTTTGTTTTGACTCTGGGGATGCTGGAACCCAAACGGGTCTTATCTGGGATATTACTTCATCTAGACTGACAGAAGTCGGCACCCCAACTTTAGAACCCAAGCAACGGGCCCTTCAAACAAACATCCTTCCTGCAAAGAAGGTAATTTTTGTTGTTAATGAGAGTGCCTCACCCCCACCCCTTTTTCTCTTCTTGGGCTTCCTTAGCCTGACTCTCTCCTCTCTGGATAGGAAAAAAGAAAGCAAGGTCTAAGGGAATTGCCAAGAAAGGACAGAAAGAACTCACTAATAGTCCCACGAGCAAGGGAAAACAGAATTCCCTTTTGCCTTGTCTGGACTGCACTTTTGTAGTAATGGCTAAAAATGACCCTTTGATTAGGCTGCGAGAAGAGCACAGGACAAACAGCCAGCGCCGGAGGAGCAGAAACCAGTCCAAAGACAGCCTGTCCCACGTAGGAGCCAGGGAAGACAAAATGGCTGTTCTCTTCGTCATAGTCCACAGGCTTCCCAATTATGAGTGGGGTCCACTGGGTCTGAATCCGTAGATTGGGGTTCCAGGGGCTTTGCTTTTACTCGCTCTCTCAATGGTCACTTGCCCTGTCTTTGAAATTCCTTCATAGCTCAACAGAGAGGGAGGCGTTAGATCAAACTGCCCAGCCTACACTTAGCCTTTCCAGGAGCTTCACATTTTTGAGAGGGTTGAAATGGAGAAGAAATAAGAGAGTCCGAAAATTCAAGATGATATTTCCAGTTGGATGCGTGTTTGCTTCACTTGAATCTCTTGATTGATGGTCTATTTCAGTTGATGTAGACTAAGTTGGCCTCAGAGAGATGAGCACTGTTGTGTATTTAAATTTAGAGGGGAAACTGTTCCATCTCCTGTAGTGGTGAGCTTGAGAGGTTTCCCTAAAATTTGTGTGAGTGCAAGTAAGAATCAACCTTGTGCATAATGGGCTTTCCACACAAGAGAATAAGAGATTAAAACTATACCGCGATGAAGATCACTGTCTAGCTCCCGGATTCTGAGCACAGCCATGGGTAATTTTTGGGCAGTCACTAGCATTTTATCTCTACCCTCTGCTTGATGAGCAGAGTATGAACTTAAGGAACTCAACACATATTGCAAGCTTCTCTAATGGTGATATGAATTGTAGACGTGTTTATGATCCTATCATGTGACCTCAATTAGTAGCAGATTTACTAAATTATATGATTTGGGAACTCAAATATACCTGGCATTTAACAATACCTATTCAAGCATATTTCACTCAGCAGATGGGCTCAGAAGTGATGCCCATCTTCCTTTTCTGTTGCTGAAGAGGCCCTTGTATGACAAGTAGCTGCCAGACAGTGGAGAAACTTCTGGTTTCTCTACTTCTCTCAACTGCTGCTCATCATTAACAGAATCGCTGGGGTGGGGGAGGGGTGCTGCTCTTTTCCCTGCTTTTCCTAGGAACAGTTTGTCCCTGTTATTGTAGCTCTCTGTCCTTATCTGTAGTGCAGATGATGGAGACCACATGCAGTAAGAACAGGTTAGGGAAAGCTGCTATCAGTTAAAACATCTTTTAGGAAGCCTTTGCAGGGGTAATTTGTTTTCTATCGTGGTGTACACTGAATGTTGCTGTTTTCTCACTGACAGGGAATTAGTTAATGCTTGAATGTTCTTAAAATTGCAGCTGTTCTGGAATTTTAGCTGGAACTCATGGGCAAAATGAAGTTGCCTAGCCAAAGGTACAAAATAAGTCAATAAATATTTCCCAAGTTTCCCATGAGATAGTGTAATGGGCACAGAAATGAGAGGCTGCCTTGACAGTTATCTGGAAGGTATCATTTCATGTGCTCTCCATCAGAGCACTCGGGGAATGGTAAGTGCCTCTGACACTACATCAATGACATTCATTTTTGGACATAATTTTTTAGAGTGGGAATCGTATTGCCATCTGTACATCTTAACCTTTTAATGATGTTTTGAGTCTTTAATCATAGAGTTTCAAGAATAAAATGAGTTATTTTAATTAGCTCCTCTTTAACTTTTACATACACATTTATATTTAATTTTCTTAGACACAAAATTAAAATAACCATTAAAAGTTGGTTAACTATCTTTCCAGGAGATTTTTTGTTGCATGAATAAAAGGCTTTCATGGTGAAAATAATGTGTGTATTTAAATATGAATACATCAATTTTTAAATGCCAACAACAGGTCTGGATTTCCTGTCTAAATCAAGGGCTGTGGCCTGGTGCCTATAGGGTCTTTTAGAAGGTGGTGAAGTCCCCTGAAATGCTTAGGAACATTATAGGATATTGTAATGAAATCAATATTCATGTTGTTTTCACTGTAGGCAAGCAATTGAATAGAAAAGTGCCTGAACAAGGTCCATTTAAGATGTATAGCCTAAAACTGACTATGGCTTGGGTTTAATTGATCAATAATAAGAAAGCAGTAACAATATACTGCTAATTCTTCCTTTACTAAAGAATATGACTATATTGGAAATAACTGTTTTATACACCAATGACTTCATCTTAAGAAAATAATATGAATAATCTGTGAATTTGCATCCAGGTAACTAACAGCATTTGGTACAAAATGATGCAATCTGTTTCAATCAGCCACAAGGCAGCAAGACGGTTGGGGCAGGGAGAAAGAAAGGTCAAAACATCTGATATATTAGCCAGTCAAGTAACTCACATCAAATAAGTGTGGAATAGTGTTTTGAATGGCTTTCTCGATAAACTTATTTTGGAATTGCAGTTGTTTTATTTCTTTAAAGGTAGAAAGTATTTGCAGGGAGACTAAGATAGTGACAGGGGCACTTATTAATAAATCTCATAAGGCTCATTAATAAGATTGTCTTTATAAGACAGGGACATAGAGGTAATTTTTAGGAAATGTCCCTAATCAAGTAAATAAAAGTTCCTCCCTTTGGGCTCCAAAAGCATCAGACAAAACTGCATCTTCAATAGGAAACAGTGTGGCAAGACTGGGTTCTGAAGGCAGCCATTTGTGGTAAACTCGGGGATCCCTTGGAGTCCTGGGCTGGTGCAGCATACCCAGCAAGATCTCCAGCAAGACGTTCTTACCCACTTACTTCCTTTTCCATGCTCCCCGGTCCATTGCTTGTTCAGTGTGAGAGAAAGCTATGATGAGAGCATAGAAACAGCCTTTCTCTGTGACAGTGTGTGTACTAAGGCAAACAACTATGGTCCATCATTGCCTCAGAAGGGTCTCTTTTGGTCATGACTCTCCTTGTCTTCCCAGGCTTGCACACTGGAATGTGAAGGACAGCTACCTTCTCTCAAAATCTGGGAGACCTGCAAGGATCTCCTGCAGGTGTCCAAGCCTGAGTTCCCTTGGGATAGCATCGACATGTTCAAAGACGGCGGCAAACAGGATGAGAGCCACTTGCTAGCCAAGAAGTACGGAGGGTTCATGAAAAGGTATGGGGGCTTCATGAAGAAGGTGGATGAGCTTTATCCTGTGGAACCAGAAGAAATGAATGGAGGTGAGATCCTTGCCAAGAGGTATGGCGGCTTCATGAAGAAGGATGCAGATGAGGGCGACACCCTGGCCAACTCCTCCGACCTGCTGCTGAAAGAGCTCCTAGGAGCAGGCGACAGCCGCGCACGAGAAAGCCACCACCCTGAAAGCAATGACAACGATGATGACAACGTGAGCAAGAGGTATGGCGGCTTCATGAAAGGCCTCAAAAGAAGCCCGCAGCTGGAAGACGACGCGAAGGAGCTGCAGAAGCGCTATGGGGGCTTCATGAGAAGGGTGGGCCGCCCAGAGTGGTGGATGGACTACCAGAAGAGATACGGAGGCTTCCTGAAGCGCTTTGCTGAGTCTCTGCCCTCCGATGAAGAAGGGGAAAGCTACTCCAAAGAAATTCCCGAGATAGAAAAAAGATATGGGGGATTCATGCGATTTTAAAGCCCTTTCCCAGAAGTGACCCCAGGTACCCACCAGCCTGCTCCATCCCCAATGAGCAACTGCCTCATCCACCGTGTTTGTTGTCACTTGCTGCTTGTACCTTTACCCTTGTAGTCTGGATAACTACACTGCCCGGGAGCTGTGATGTGTGGGCTCTGCGTTCTTTGGAGTCTTGGGGCTCAGTACTGGCCTGTTGCAGCTATCCCATTACCATGTTGTAAGTTTCTGTTACCTCATCCCTTACTTTTGGCAAAAAAAAAGTCAATAAATGCGTACTTGTATATACATATAATAAAGCCATTATCCCGACTGCACAATGTTCTTGTGAGAAGTGGCTGTCATTTGTCGTCTGTGGGTGCTCACAGTAAAGACTAGACTTAGAGACAGTGTTCTCTATCACCTGCTATGACAGAATAGTCGCTGGCCTCTTTCTCCTGAGCCAGGCTACAAAACAGGTTTTATTTAACTGTTTGTATGTAAACTCTTAAATGAGTAAGTGCAATGACAATTTGGCCCTTCCTGTTTTATACATACAGAGAGTGGAGGGCACAATGGCTAAGTACTCGATCTAAATTTGCTCAGGAGTTGAAACAGGAGCGAGATTAACGCCTTTTCCTCATCTCCCATCCAGGATTCCGGCAAGAACAGGAAGGGCTTCGAACTTTGATCTTGTTCATCATTGCACACCCTTCACCGTGACTGTAGTAGACTCTAATAGCTGATGAGTGAGTGAATGACATGGATAAACTAATTCGCTTGGTAGTCAGACAATCCAGAAGGGGTACTAAGACTGTGTTATTATATGAATTCTCAAAACACAAGGGGCTGGTGAATATACCACATTAACAAAGTGTTTGAGGCATTATTCAGACATAAAAACTACAACAGTTTTTCACTTTCCTAGTTGAAACTACAGGCAGCACTACCCACCCACTCACTTCCCCGGATCCCTCACCAACCCTTACCCTTTAGAAAATCAGGTTACATTGCAATAGAGTAGAGGCTGGGCCCCTGGTCTGCAGTCCACAGGCTTCTCAAGCAGAATTCTCAGTTCCAGCCTGAGTGGTCTATCGGACAAGGCAGCCCCACTGAACCTGGGAGCCCATCCCAAAGTCTAGCCCTATGGAGACTTGGGAACATCCTGTTTCTCCTGATCAGTTCAGTGTGTCACAGGTCCCCAGCCTCAAGGATCACTGCCCCAGAGACCCTTTTAATCAACATTCTAACTTTGTCTTCCATGAAGAGCCCTGAGAACTTTGCATTTTGAATGAGAAGTAAGTAGTAGAAGTAGGAAAGGGCTGCCGGCCCTGGAGATCTGCACCAGAAACAAAGGATGCTGTGGGTACCCAGCATCCTTTCAGGCAGCGGCCGGTGCCTCCCTTGGGAAAGTCCACTTCATACTGGCAGATGTTTCCAACAAAATGTTAAACTTAGGTTTTCATAATAATGCCTAATGTCTCTTTCTATGTATTATTGGCAACTGGCCCCATTTAAAACATGCACCACATGTGTTGGCACACACCTGTAATCCTAACCCTTTCCAGGCTGAGACAGGAGCAGTACAGGGTTATCAGCAGCTTGGGAAACATGGCATAAATTCCAGGTCAGTCTGAGATGACAGCTACATCAGATAAGGTGTGAATCAAAACAAAAACATTGAGTCAAACAAAACACAGGATTAGATTCAAAAGATGTGGAAGCTAATATTTTGAAACAACAACAACAACAACAAAAAAAGATAAATCAATTCTTTCCCTTGGAGCAAAGCATTCGAGCCCTTGAAATCAAGAATCTGGAAGTAGGGGCCTCTGCCTTCTGCCCTCCTCGCAGTATATTATTCTAGGAGAATGCACTATGTATGTCTGCATGCATTATGATCTGTCTGAGAAACCAGCACAGGGCATGATTGGATAGGCTATTTTTCAGGCACATCCAAGAAGCCTTTCTTTCTTTTTTGTGGGCGTACTGTAAAAGTGGGGCCAAAATGCTATTAACATACAGCAATAGACGGCTGTCTGCCACTCCATTTCATCCCTTTTCTCCTGTGACAAGGATCACACAATGTCTGCGATGGAATAGTTTTCCAGACTGGTAGAGAACCAGGAACTTCAAAAGTCCTTGGAAGCTGCTGGGGGAGGGGGGGTAACAGAGCAGAGGGACAGAAAAGGGTGGTGGAGGAAATGGATTGTTCTTTTTACATCTAGATGGCAGGGCTCCAAGCCCAGGAGAAATATCCCATGGTACATCCTCCTTGGCCTAGGACTGATAACTCCAGGGCATCTTCTAGGCCTCCCTCCATGCCCAGACATCCGCTGTGTTTCCCACCATCCAACCTACAGTTTCATCACTAGAATTTTGCTTTAACTTTAAAGGCCTCGATATTTTCAAATGCTCTGTTTAAAATCTGAGGAGCTGATGCCTAAGACCACCTTGGACACTGTCAGTGCAGATATCTGGGCTCCAACTGTGCCCTCAGCATGTGTTTAGCAATAAGCACAAGGACTAGAGGAGGATTTAAAATTAACCCAAGCCTCTGCTGCCTTAAGGGGGCTCAGTGAAGGCAGGCAAAGAGGAATGAAGATCATGTCACCTGTAGAGGGCGCTGCTGCTCCATCTGCTCCTTTGCTGAGCTGTTTCTTCTCTCATTCCCACTCACCTGCATTTGCACAGCTCCACCCTGCAGCCTGGGGGTTCCTTCTGAAAGTGTGAGCACAGAGAACTGGCTGGCCTACATAGAAATCCCATGCAGCTACAGGACTGAGGCATGCTTGCCTAACATTCTCCCTTGTCCTTCACTAGGTTTTGCGTGGTGCACTGGTCAAAGAAAGACAGAGAGGGTGTGTGTGATGTGCAGGGTCATTTTTGCTATGAACTGGAAGCTGTTCTAACTTTTGTCCAAAAACAAGGGGCATAAATACTCTGAGCCTTTCGATGACATGGACTTAGAGAAGATGGCAACAGTCCCTTGCTTCTGATATTAGCATTTGCCATTTTTCCCTGAAGTTTATACAGCACCCACACAAATCAATGTATTCATTCATTAACCAAATGAACAAAGCCTGCTACACAATTAACTGGTGGAAGAGAGCTCCTGGACCAAAAGAAGAGGATGTCCATCGCTTGTGGGCTCTGGAGAGGCCATGTATCATGTGGAAGTGTATGGGGAGGTAGGAAGCAGAAAGGCAAAGACCAGAGTCCTGTGCCCCACATCAATGACCTGACTCCAACATGACCTCCTACCGATGCTACCACCTCCCAGTGGAGCCAGAGGCCAAGTCCTTAACACAAGAACCACCACGGGGCACTCCACATCCATATTAAGTCACATGCCCATGAGCCACTATCATGGCAGCAAGCTGAAATTCCAACCACTGCTCCAAACTCTTCTGAAGGCCCCTTCTGAGGACTAGCTCCTCATTTCTCACCCAGACTCCAAACCCAAAGATTAATTCATCTATTTTAAACTTCATGTGAATTGGATCTATTAGATCCAAACTGCCCAGAGCCGTGGTTTATCATCTTTATTGCCACATGTTAGTTCCCCACAGTAGGACAACTCCTCAGCTGCACTTCCCTTCTGACCTGGGGCTTAACTTTCAAAGTCTGACCTCTGTATTTCCACAAATACACATGTGCGTGTCTCTTCACACACGTTTCTTTTCCATATATAAAACAGCACCCGGTTGTCCTGATCATGTACTTTGCAAATGTTCGGATGCTGATCATAGTGGCGATATTTTTGGGGGGGAGGAGGGGGTATGCACATGCTCGACCAAGCTTCCAGTTAGACTCCTGCTTGTACTGGTACAGCACATGGTTAGTTTTTCATCAATTCAACCATTCTGCTTTAGTTTATACTTTCCTTTCTACAAATGAGGTCAAGTCGTTTTGTGTTCCCAACGATTTGGATATGCATATATTTCTCTGGATGCACATCTGGCTACTGTGCATCTGATTTAGTGTAAGCCTGGATTGTGCTATGTTGATTAGGCTGGTCTCAAATTCACAGAAATCCATCTGCTGCTATTTCCAGAGTGTTACAATGAAAGGTGTGCTTGGCCTGAAATTTTTGGTTTGTTTGTTGTTTGTTTGTTTCTAAAACAACACCCTGTAATTATTGTCATCCCTCCGTTGCCATGATTGTGGTCTCATGGCACTCACTCCATTCAGTGTCCTCCCCATGCTTCTTCCAATACCATCTGTCTTATCCACCTGGGTGGGAAGTTTGTGTAACACGGCCCTCTCCAATTTGGGTGGCTTTTGGCTCCTTGTGATGAGGAGACCTGAGAAGATCCTCCCAAAACGCTCACAGCAAGGTGAGGGAGCACAGGCCATTCCGATGCATTGTGGGCTTCACATGCTTGGAAGGCAGAGTCATTTCCAGGAACCATTTCCTGGGCCTGAAGTGGAGCACCATATCCCTCACTGGGCTCCAGCCCGTTGCCTCGCTCACCCTGTGGGGTGAAGGCTCTCATTAACTGTTCCCTGGTGACTCCTGGAGGGAAGCTGGGGACTGCCTTCACTTACACACCAGTCTAGAAAGCAAGCTGGAAGGGAGTTCCAGACAAACTGAAAGAGCCAGCCTTCCAGAAGTGGAGTCCATGGCTCGACAGGGCCAACTATCTGGGGATGCACTCCCTGTGGTACAAGTCTAAGAGGAGCAAGACCCGAAGCTCCCTCAGCACTGCAGAGCAAAAGAAGAGAGGGCAGGCCAGGAGGGAGACCTCCAGTTTGAAACCAGCAAGGTGGTAGAAGCCTGTGTGGTTGCTAAGGAATTGGCTGCAGGGGATTAGGTGAAGTTGGTGTTGGCAACGGAAAACTTATTCAACTTTTTTTTCCTTTTTACTACACAAATCATTCATCAGATAACTATGGCAAGTGCAATGTACCCAGGAGGTAAACATGAAAATGAATGACCATTCAAGCCTGCTTGCTTACAACTTACCTTCTGCACATGTGAGCAGATTCAGCTGTTGCAGAACCCTAAGTGCTGAGCTTGCTCTTCGGAGAGGCATCTTCCTTTCAGGATAGCTCAGGGTTAAAGGCAACATCCCTCTTCCATCTCTCCTTCCATAGCAGCAGCTGCCCTAACAGTTCAGCATTTAA